GTCCAGAGACCAGTGTGTTACTAAATCCTGAGTCCAGTGCATTACTAAGTCTAGAGTCCAGTACCTTACCAGTCCAGAGTCCAATTCCTTTCACTGCCGGCGCTCCGAGCGGGGTCATCTGGCAGTCTCCGGCCACCTAAATTAGGACCCGGAGACTGCCAGATGACCCCGCTCGGAGCGCCGCCCACCGGAGCAGCAGTGACGCGACGCTCGGCGAGGTAAGTAAGAAGAAGAAGAAAAAAAAACATAGCGCAAGCTTCGGCGCTAGGCTTCGGGGCATTTTGACAAGTACAAGTACTTGTCAAAATGCCCTGTATCAGGCCCGATTCCGATGCTAGCATCGGTATCGGGACATCCCTAGTTCCTAGCACAGGGATATCCCCATGGGGTTATTAAAAAGCCTGTAATCGGGACATCATGCAAGTTCAGAATCCCATACCCTGGTCCACTACGTCAGGGATCTACTGATAAGACCATAATCTATGTCAAGAAATCAGTATATCAAGTTGTCTTCCTGCATCTCTGAAGAAGGGGTCAATAGATACCAGAACTGCAACATTTGTAACTGCTTCATACATGGCAACAGATTCTCACAGCCACATACGGGACGAATATATCACCTGCTTGATTATTATTGTAACACAAAGCTCTGTGTATATACACGTAAATGTCCATGCTCATTGATTTATATTGGCAGGACTACGGGATTATTCAACCTGTGGTCTTCTTGGTCATTCAACCTGTGGTCTTCTTGGTCATTCAACCTGTGGTATTGCCAAGGCCTTGCTCATTCAACCTGTGGTCTTGATATTCAAGTGGCACTCAAGAACAATTGGTTGCACAAACCTTTTGACCACAGCAACCTGTGGCATCACATTTTGTGGATGACCAGCATCCAATCCAAGACATTAGAGGCACGATGATAGACCATGTCCCTAGACCCCATCACAGAGCCAGCAGTAGGCGGTTGGTTCCTTCCACAGAGAGGATCATACTGGGTTCACACCCTTCATATGGTCATACCTAGAGGCCTGAACATGAATGTGTCTCTTGTATGTTTCCTGCCTCTGAGCACTGACTTACCTGTTTCCCCCCCACCATGTATAACTGTTGTTCTGTATATCACCTTGATAAAGGAAATGCAACATTGGGCCATTCCATATAGAACTCCAGGAAATTTTGCACTGCTGGCCATTTATACATTTTAGGTTTTTATTTATTGCTGTTACCCCATTGGGGAGGTTTTCTCTCACTTCCTCTCCCCGTGACACCAGGACCAGACGTGGGGTGGGGTGGTTGTCATAAGGGAAATTAAATAGGCCTTAGCTTAGCAAGCAGGACCTGTCCCCACAGGTAGCCCTTGCTGGGCACCCTTGATGACCCACTGGGGACCAGAAATGGTATGGGAGTATCACCAGTAACCCCCTATCTGTGGTCAGCATGGTCCTGAAAGAATTAGTGTTAAAGGAATATGAGAGAAAGATGTGTTGGGCGTGTTATACCGACCACAGGCAAGTCCCTGCTGACCTGACGGGGCACAGGCCGATTACAGGAGGGATGCCCTTATCCCCCTTATCAGTGCCCCTGGTTTTCACCAAGATGGAAAAGCACAGACCGCATATAAAATCTTTGCCAGAAGTTCTAACTCAGGATTGGGCAACCTTGGCACTCCATTTATGCTAAAAATACAAATCTCGTCATGCCTCTGCCTCCGGGAGTCATGCCTGCGGCTGTCAGTCTTGCAATGCCTCATGGGACTTTACAACAGCTGCAGTGCCCAGGTTGCCCACCCCTGCTCTAACCCTTCCCCACTCTACTTAAACTGTGTTTTTGACTGTGTCCTCATGGGAGAGATTTCCAATAGGGACAAACGTTGCAATGAGGAGCTGACAGAAGTTGGCATTCTTTTCATTTGGTGAACAGCCCACTGTGTATAAGTAGTTCTGTCAGTCTAACGCAGCGCTGACAGGAGTATTATGCAATGTGATCAGTTCTTCATGTAGTCTAACAGACGGCTGCAAACACTGAACAGATGGAGAAGGCTTGGCTATCGCTGCTTCTGACTTTGCGTTATGAAATCATGGGGACCGAGGGGTTAAATGGCCCATTGCCAGCGAGGAAAGTGATGGATGGGATTGCCGCGTCTTTGATAAGTTCTGCACTTTCCCCAGGTGTATACAGCACAGGATAATGTGATGTATTGGTTTATAAGGGAATAGACTGCTTACGCGGGAGGGTGATAACTCACAGCTCGGCCGGGGGATCTATGAATCGAATTCCCCTGGAACTGAAAATGGAGGCACAGCGCCATTTATCAAATATAAAACTCCTTCAGGAAACCATCACCCAATGTTCCTTATAGGCAGCGCTGTACATAATGGAGGCAGGAGAATGTTGTACAAAGGTGCCCACACACCTTACGATAATCGTACGCTAATTGCGGGAAATCCCACGATCGTACGATTAACGTAAGGTGTGTGGGAGCGGTAAGGCATGTTCGTAAGATACACACTGCCCGTTCGGCATTGCGGTCATCGGAAGCCCGCCCCTCAGCGGGGCGGGCTTGCGATCATCGCAAGTACGATCTGCCTGTCCAAGATGGGCAGATTGTACGTTTTTTTAATTACCTTACAACCATCTCAAGACAAAAGTCTTGCGATGGTTGTAGGGTGTGTGCCCAGCCTTAAGCAGAACTATAATGTATAGACCATCAAAATAAAAATGTAGCTTTAGCTGCAATACTCACCTTCAGTCTGGAGCTGTCCCTGTAGTACTTCCTAGTTAACTGCCTGTCATGCTGATCCAATGGCTTCAGCAATATATGCTCTCTGACTTTTCAGACGGGCTGCTTGTTTTGGGTCAGCTGCTAGGAAATTTGCCCTTAAAGTGGGCCATGATGCCGGAGGCGGTTAGGAGGGGATCCCGTGGCTTCATTCGTTCACTATGATTGGCTGCACAGTGATGATGTCATTGAGAGCCCGACCTACCAGATCATTGCACTTTTAGTGCACCTTGCCATTTAACCACTTGCTGACCGTGTGGTAAACCCCCTTCCTGACCAGGCCATTTTTCAATATTCAGCGCTGCAGTACTTTGACTGACATTTATTCCGTCATACAACGCTGTACTGAAATGAATGTTATACCATTTTTGGCGGACAGATGGAGCTTTCTTTTGGTGGTATTTAATCACCACTACGGGGTTTTTATTTTTTACTATATGAAGGAAAAATTAGACCTCCAAACTTCATGTGGCCTTCAGATTGGCACCAAAACAGTGCGTAGAGAGCTTCATGGAATGGGTTTCCATGGCCGAGCAGCTGCATCCAAGCCTTACATCACCAAGTGCAATGCAAAGCGTGGGATGCCGTGGTGTAAAGCACGCCGCCACTGGACTCTAGAGAAGTGGAGACGTGTTCTCTGGAGTGACCAATCACGCTTCTCTGTCTGGCAATCCGATGGATGTGTCTGGGTTTGGTGGTTGCCTGGAGAACAGTACTTGGCCTGACTGCATTGCTTGGCCCCTTAGTTCCAGTGAAGGGAACTCTTAAGAGTCTTCAGGAGACAGAGCATTGCACCCGGGTAGCTGAAAGAGTCTGCAGGAGTCAGAGCATTGCACCCGGACAGCTGAAAGAGTCTGCGGGAGCCAGAGCATTGCACCCGGGCAGCTGAAAGAGTCTGCGGGAGTCAGAGCATTGCACCCGGACAGCTGAAAGAGTCTGGGGGAGCCAGAGCATTGTACCCGGACAGGTGAAAGAGTCTGCAGGAGCCAGAGCATTGCACCCAGATAGCTGAAAGAGTCTGCAGGAGCCAGAGCATTGCATCCGGGCAGCTGAAAGAGTCTGCGGGAGTCAGAGCATTGCAACCGGGCAGCTGAAAGAGTCTGCGGGAGCCAGAGCATTGTACCCGGACAGGTGAAAGAGTCTGCAGGAGCCAGAGCATTGCACCAGGACAGCTGAAAGAGTCTGCAGGAGTCAGAGCATTGCACCAGGACAGCTGAAAGAGTCTGCAGGAGCCAGAGCATTGCACCTACTATCCACTGCGATTGCAATGCTTTACTGGCTCAAATGCAGTAAAATAATAGACACATTTTTTCTTTCACTTTTGTACATTTATGATTTTTATAGGTGGATTTTACCTTTAGAACGATCAAAGTTGACTTTGGAAACAAAATTATCATGATGCTTTTATAAACTTTTTGTCTTTTTATGATATTCTTGTTGGCAGGATGGAGGGTGTCTTATAGCATATTAATGAATACATATGATTGGAGGATGATTTGGGTATATACTGTATATGAATCACCACGATCCTCCTTTGCAGCTCCAGTCTATAGCTCGCCACACTCCATAGAAGATGGATTTCTCTGCTTTGTGTCGGATTGGGATGCGATGAATGAAGCTCTGGCTGTCTGTCATCGGTCACGGTTCATCTATCAGATTGTATGAGAGCCGCGTCTGTCCTCCTCCCTCCCCAGATGGTGTTCAGCACCTGAGTACTGGACAGCTCAGCCCGCACAGGGCTGAATTCCCATCAGACCTTCCCGACACGCTGAGAGCCGGTCTGCGTCTGACTAACTTCCTGAGATCTGCAGACTATCACCACTGTCATCACAGATTGAGGATGATCTGCACATCTCTGCATTCCCTCCAGACTATCCCGACACTCTGAGAGATGGTCTGCAACTGGGTAACTTCCTGAGATCTACAGACTATCACCACTGTCATCACAGATTGAGGATGATCTGCCACCAGAAAATGATCTGCACATCTCTGTATTCCCTCCAGACCATCCCGACTGGCTGAGAGATGATCTGCAACTGGCTAACTTCCTGAGATCTGCAGACTATCACCACTGTCATCACAGATTGAGGATGATCTGCCACCAGAAGATGATCGGCACAGTGCTGTATTCCCTCTAGACCACCAAGACAAGCTGGGAGATGATCTGCAACTGTTTAACTTCCTGAGATCTGCAGACTATCACCACTGTCATCATAGATTGAGGATGATCTGCCTCCAGAAAAAAATAGACAAGCTGCCCAATGTCTTTGTGCTATGATTGCTGATGGATATCATGGAGCTCCACCAAAGGCTCGGGGACCTCCTGCCTTGGAATGTCTCACTGCTTGACTACCTCTCTCCCGGGAATGACAGTATCTGGCACTCCAGAGCTCTCTCCAGCAACATCCTTTTCTCTGCCCACGAACCAGGCACCATCCTCTTGGTGGTAATGTACTCTGCTTCCTTTCTGGCTGGCTTGGTAGGTAACATCATGGCTTTGAGGGTGTTGGGGGCCCGCAGGAGAAGAAGATGTGGCTTCTCTGGGGTATCTGGGACCAAGGATCTTCTTGTCAACTTGGCTGTATGTGACATGATGGTGATTTGCATCTGCATGCCCATCAACCTTGGTCACCAGGTTCACAACGCTTGGGTGTTTGGAGGGTTCCTCTGCAGAGCGGTCCCTTTTGTCCAGGCTGTGTCTGTCTCCGCTAGTGTCCTCACCTTGTCTGTCATCAGCCTGAACAGGTACTATAGTGTCCACAACCCTATGCATGCCAGGACTTTCTTCACCACCAGGAAGATCACTGTCATGATCTGTTTAGTGTGGCTCCTGTCTTCTGCTTTATGTATCCCACTGCTCTTCATGAACAGGACTCAGAACTTGGTCCTCTACCCTGGGAAGTTAGCTGTGGTGGTGTGCACTGAAAGTTGGCCAAGTCTAAAAACCAAACTTATTTACAACTTCTTGTTGTTCTGTGCCTTGTATGCGTTCCCTGTCTTATTCAACCTCTTGATCTGTTTCCTGACAAGTCGACGGCTCTGGGGGCCCAGCGACGCGGTGATCGACAAGAACAGTTGGTCTATGGCTGACTCCAGGTTGAAGGCTCGTAGGAAAATTGCCAAGATGGTGGTGGCGTTGGTTCTTCTCTTCACCCTGTCATGGTTGCCCCTCTACGTGCTAGACATCTGGATTGACATCAACATGACCTATGCCCCTTTTGGCGACATGTTAGGATACCTCCAACATGACTGGATTTTGCAGTTGAGACCCTTTGCACAGTGGCTTGGCCTCACCAACTCTACTCTCAACCCCCTGTGCTACTGCTTTGTGGGCAACCTGTACCGATCGGCCAAACGTTTTAGGAATAGCTACCGAGAAAGGTTGGTGTCTATCTTTAGTATGTCTTTGGTCCATGCCACGGGAGACCCCGCTGCCCCCCGTTTACTACACTACAAGGCCTCTAAAAACAACATGGAGTCTCGGTTCAAGAGAGGCAAACTCCAGTCAAGGTTTCAACCCATCACCAAGAACAAAACTGTTTCCTCAGTCCCTATCTGTGATGGGAGCCCGGGGCTTCCCCTGCCTGTCCCTGTTTGATAGCACAAGGTGTGCTTTCTCTCCACAGAAGGTGTCTTGGCTTCTTGTTGTCTATCTTTGACCCATGCCCTGGGGGACCCCACTGTCCCCTGTTTGCTGCACTACAAGGCATCTAAAGACAGCATGGAGTCTTAGTTCAAGAGAGGCCAACTCCAGTCAACGTTTCGACCCCTTACCAAGAACAAAACTACTTCCTCATCCCAATCTGTGATGGGAGCCCAGGGCTTCCCCTACCTCTCCGTGTTTGATATCAAAAGTGGGGGGGGGGGGGGGGGGGGGGGGT